CTTTCCACATAGAGGGATACTCTCTCAGCCTAGATATACAGGGGAGAGCATAGGCCCTGCTCCAAAGGACATGACAGACTTTGAAGATTCCTCATGGAAGGCCTCACCCTCCCTGGGGAGCAAAAAGGGGATGGGATAGAAGGTTAGTGGGGGAAAGGGGAGGAGGGGAGGGAGAGGGAACTGGGATTAACATGTACAACACGTTTGTTTCTAATTTAAATTAAAAAAATAGAGGAAAAAAAAGGTTGTTTTATTTTTTGAAAGTCTCACTATAAGCCCAAGCTGCCCTGGGACACCTAATCATCTCGCTTCAGCTTCTGAGTAATACGATTCTAGGCATGTGCCACCACACTGAGTATACACCAATGAAAACATCTCAGTCACGGCTGGAAAGATGGCTCAGTGGACAGAAGCTCTTGCCCAGCAAGCCTGATGACTTGAGCCTGATCCCTAAAACTCACAGTGGAAGAAAACAACTCAAATAGCTCTTCTCTGACATCACATGTGTATTTTAGAGAGATAAAATAATAATAAGTAAAATTAAGGTCCCGCATGTAAAAGTATTGCTGCATAAACCTGATGCTCTGAATTTGAGTCTATACAAAGAAAAGGACTGATTCCATCTAGTTCTCTAACTCCCTTATCATGGGTGTGTATGCACCCGAGTGTTTGTGATTGTGTGCATGGGACGGTCAGGAGACAACTTGAAGATGTCAGTATACAGAGAAACCCTGTCTTATAAAAACAAAAAAAGAAAAAAAAAAAGATGTCAGTACTTTCCCTCTACCACGTGGGTAGAAGATATCCAGCTCGGGTTGTTGGCTTGGTGGCAAGTAACTTTAATCACTGAGCCAAGAAACAAAGAGTGAGTGAGTGAGTGAGTGAGTGAGTGAGTGAGTGCGTGAGAGAGAGAGAGAGAGAGAGAGAGAGAGAGAGAGAGAGAGAGAGAGAGAGAGAGAGAGAGAGAGAGAGAGAGAGAGAGAGAGAGAGAGAGAGAGAGAATTTACCTACAGGCATGTATGTGTGTACCATGGGCATACAGTGCCCATAGCAGCCAAACCCAGGTCCTCTGCAAGAGCAGTAAGTGCTCTTAAGTCCTGAGCCATCTCTCCAGCTCAGAGAACTCTTAGCACTGACTTTAGAAATAGCCAGGACAGGAAACTTAGTGAGACCCAATGTTAGCTGGGTATTGGTGGTGCTCACCTTTAATACCAGCCACACAGCCGGGCAGTGGTGGTGCACGCCTTTAATCCCAGCACTCGGGAGGCAGAGGCAGGTGGATCTCTGAGTTCGAAGCCAGGCTGGACCGACAGCTTCCAAAACAATACAGAGAAACCCTGTCTCGAAAAACCAAAAAAAAAAAAAAAAAAAAAAACCAGCCACACAGGAGAGGCAGACATAGCTCTATGAATTTAATTTAACGTCAGGCTGGTCTACATAATGAGCTCCAGGATACTCAGGACTACACAGAGAAACCCTGCCTCAACAAACTAAAAACAAACAAACAAACAAACAAGCCTTGGGAGGTGTGGTGGTGCACAACTTTAATCTCAGCACTTGGGAGGAAGAAGCAGATTAATCTTTGCATTCCAGGCCTGCCAAGACAACACAGTGAGACCCTATCTCAAAAAGGAAAACAAAAACACAAACAAAAAAAGAGGGCTGGGGACATCATTGAGTGGCAGAGTGTTTCTCTAGCATGTGGGGGGCCCTGGGCTCAACCAGTAGTACCATAAAAACAGCAACAACAATAAAACAAATGATGCACACAGAGAGAAATTCCTTGTCCACCAAGCTGGGTAAGATTCCCTGTTCTCTTTAACATTTACAAGTCATGCGGGGGAGGAGGAAAGGGAAAGGGAGCTGGGATTGACATGTGAAACAAGCTTGTTTCTAACTTAAAAAAAAAAAAAAGAAAACAAAAACAAAAAAACAAAAACATTTCCAGTCACTTCTGCATCCCTAAGTCTTCTAAGGAGGCCCTACCTTGCTAAGTACTTGGCTTCGATCAGCAATGTCTATATATACAGCTTCCACATGTTTCCATGTCTCAGGCTCCAGTTTATGCACCTGGAAGAAAGCAGGAGACCACTCATTATGCATGTGCAGTTCTGCTAGTGACAAGCATCCTTTACCTGAAACAGACATCTAGAAACAGATCTCCCACACCACTGTTGGGATATTCCTACTAGTAAAGAATTACACAAGGGTTAAACACCTATGCCTTTAATTCCAGCACTCAGGAAGCGGGGACAGGCAGATCTCTGTGAGTTTGAAGCCAACCTGGTCTACAGAGCAGCCAAGACTACACAGAGAAACCCTGTCTCAAAAACAAAAACAAAAAACAAAAAACAAAACCCCAACTGACTCTATGTGATGGCTATTCTTGGTTGTCAACTTGATTACATCTGGAATTAACTAAAACCCGAATGGTTAGGAACAACTGGGAGGGATTTTCTTTAAATCATTTGAAGTGGGAAGGTCCACATCGCCTTCTGGCAACCTATATAAAGGACATGGAAGAAGGAAGCTCTTGCTCTTTGCCAGTTTGTCCTCACTTTCTCGCTGGCAATGAGAGTGAAAGTCTATTCCTTCACTAGCATTAGAGCCTACTTCTTCAGTTTAAATCTTCTTTGGGTAAAAGTCAATGCTGGACTAGTGGAACCACAGCCTGTAAGCCAGTCTAATACCTCCCCACCTCAATTCATTGTGTCCGTTCCTCTAGAGAACCCCGACTAACAACATACTCTCCCTCTTAGCAATCAAATGCCAACAGCTCCTAAGTTAGTGGAGGGATTTTTTTTTTTTTTTTTTTGAGACATGAGACCAGATCCATGTAGCCTGGACTGTCTTGGAACTCTCTATGTAGACCATGCTGGCCTCAGATTCAGGGAATCTGCCTGACTCTGCTTCCTGCGTGCTGGTGTTAAAGGCGCCTACCATCAAGCCTGACTAGTGGTGAGAGTTTGTGCATACCTCTCCACCTCTTTGATGGGATTTTGTCTCTCTAAGCTTTCACAGGGCTTGTTAAAACTGATGTGAGTTCATGTGTATCCATCCCATTGTGTCTGGAAAACACTGCTGTTATCAACCACAATCTTTCTACCCGTTCTTCTGCAAAGACCACTGAGGCTTGCAGGGTGAACTGTAATGTGAAGGTCCCATTTAGGGCTGAGCACTTCACAGCCTTTTTTTTTTTTTTTGGTTTTTCGAGACAGGGTTTCTCTGTGGCTTTGGAGGCTATCCTGGAACTCGCTTGGTAGTCCAGGCTGGTCTCGAACTTACAGAGATCCGCCTGCCTCTGCCTCCCGAGTGCCTTCACAGCCTTTTATTCTCCACAGGGGGTCTCTGTGTTAACTGGAAGCTGCTGAGAGAAGCTCCTCTCTGCAGAGGGTTGAGAGATGCTCTGATCTGTGGGTATAGCAGTAAGTCACTTAATACTATGTCCATTTAGCAGAGTAATAGTTCTAGGTTCTCCCAGGACCTATGACCTGTCCAGCCATTGATTCTAACCCTTTAATATTCTTTTTACAGTGACCAACATATACCTGAGTATTTTCATCAGTTCCTTTTTAATTTTCGTTTTGGAACAAAGTCTCATTTCTATAGCCCTGACAGTCCTGGAATTTAGTCTGTAGACCACACTGACCTCAGTTCACAAGAGATTCTCCTGCTGCTTCCTCCAGAGTGCTGATGTGCATGCCACCACATCTGGCTCCCTCAGCTTTTCTGTTTTGTTTTGCTTTTGTTTTTTGAGAAAGGGTTTCTCTGGCTGTCCTGGAACAAACTCTGTAGACCAAGCTGGCCTCTGCCTCCCAAGTGCTGGTATTACAGGCGTGCACCACCAGCACCCAGCTTCCCTCAGCTTTTTGTTGTTTTTCAAGACAGGGTTTCTCCGTTTAACAGCCCTGGCTGTCCTGGAACTCACTCGGTAGAGCAGGCTGGCCTCAAACTCACAGAGATCCTCCTGCCTCTGCCTCCCAAGTGTTGGAATTAAGGTGCTGGCACCAATTGTGATGTTTTAAAGATATTATTTCTGGATATCCAAAACTGCATTTTAGACAAATCCCAGCTCTATAAGAAAGCCCATCAAAGAATCTTAGAGATGACATTTTGCAAATCAATGACAAGAAACCTTCCTAACCAGGCAAAAGAGAAGCGTAGAAAGGAGCCTGCAGCAGGGCAGGAGAGGCTACAGGGCAGAGCCTGAGATATCTACCAAGGGCCTGGAGCCACCAAGGGCTCTTGAGAAGTGATACTTACATTCTCCTGGGTGCCAAGATCCGGCTTGTGCCAGGTTTCAATTTTAATCAGAAAGTCTTCTTTCATGTACTCATTCTGGAAGAGGAAACAACTACCTTAGTGACTGACAAGGTCTGAGCTGGAGGGTCTCTACCTCCCATTACTGGGGATCATGCAAGCCTGGCGTTTTGAGACTCCAGGTGGCTTGATATAGGCTGTCTCAAAGTTATCCCTGTGGTCCCAGGACTAGGTCTGTTTCACACATATGATCACCCTGAGTTTACAAAGTGAAGTTCAAAATCTTAGGTGACTTGGCAAAGGCCACAGAGCTACAGCATAGTGAGGCCAAAGTTCCCACTTGTCTGAGTTTAGAATTCGGTATTTAACCAGTCTTCCATACTAGCTTATGCACAAAATGCAAATGTAGCCAGTAGCCCACAAAGTCTCCTAGCTCAGAAAAAGTCTTCATGCTGGCCCTTTTCCCTACATCAAGCCCTTGGTTGTAATTTTGTTCCTCTCCCTTGGTGCTTTTAAAAATTATAACACCTGTTTAAAAAAACATTTAGTAAAAGGAGCTACACGAGAAGGAAAGAAGCCTACTGTTCGCTCACTGGCAGGGATTTGTTCTGCAGCAAGGACAGGAATTTGAGGAATCATGCTCAAGAGGGAGAGCTTGGGGGACAAGGGGCTGGTTCTGGAAGAGCAAGGTTGGTGATGTCACAATGTTGTCAATGAGCAATGCTCACTGGAGCCAACAGATGCCCAAATGGGAAGGGGATGTCACATCCAGGTTGAACCAAAACATCTGTACAGCCCTGGGAAGGCACGACCTGAGGGTATCTCTAAGACCCAGAGTCAGGTCTGACCTGGCAAAGTCACCACGAGCCAATGCACTGACTGGCAAGACCCTCATTAGGATGGAAACACGTGAGCCTTGACAGCCCCAACATCCCCCAAGGGGAACAAGAGACCAGTAGAGCATCTAGTGCAGGTACACTTTTACTTCTTTTCTTATAGACCATCTAGAACTCCAATCCCTCCTAATACCCCCTCCCCTGCCGGAAATACTTACTGTAATAACTGCTCCATGGCAAGGACATGGAAAAAAATAAAGAAAGAAGATTAATGAAGATGAACAGATATGAAGAGCAAAGACTTTCTCCACTCCCCATGGCTCCCTCCATAGTGACCTCTAGGCTATAGCTTATATTAGGAAGCCTCAGTGCATCAACCCCTCCTGCACCCAAACTCATTCAAAATCCCAAGGAACCAAATCTGGGATTTAATCAAGATGACACCCCTATGAGCTTCTTAGGACTGTCTCTGATAGAACAAGGAAAGGGATGGTCTCTGGTCAGCTGAGGCTCCAAGGCCCAATCAATCTCCCATGAGAGAATCACTTGGGTGCGCCCCCGCCCCAGAGCAGGGTCTTCTGAACTAGGTTGTCGGCTGTCTTTTTGATGGTGGCACCCTCCCTCACACTGTAACCAAATCTCGCATGCTCTATGCTCCTGCTGCTGTAATGGGATCCCTCAGAAAGCACAGGTCAATTATTTATCAGAGAAAATGACTGCAGCTTCCATGTCACTGGGGAAGAGCCCAACTCTCCTCCCAACAACAGCTCAGTTCACTCTGTGCCCTACTCTGTGTGCAATTCCAATTTCTGGTAATGCATACTGCTGGTTTTTAGAGTATACAGATGTCCAACAAACTTCATCACTCCAAAAAACAAACAAAAAGTAAAACATTACTGCGACAGAATAGGGAAGCTGGCAGCATAAGGGCTATACTGTAAGTCATTGTGTGCACAAACAGCCCAAAACATTGTCAGTAATTTCTCCAAACCCAACCAAAGACACTGGAAGCACCAGATTAAGATTAAACTAGCAACTCCTCTATTAGTACCTCGAGGAATTCATGTGGGGACAATAGAAATAAAGGGTACAAATGTGCATCCAAAGACGCCAGTCTACCAGAGACTACTGTCATGCTGTTATAGAGACAGTAGTTTCAGGCTGGCCTGGTATGATGACCCTGATCATTAAGTTTCTCCAATCAGTTACCATATTTGGACTCTACATTCTCTAAGATACCCACCCTCTTCTAGTCTGGCCTCTGTAGGACACAACAAACTGCTCCTCTAAACAAGCTGACTGTTTGCACCATCACACTGTATCCTAGTTTTAATATAATTTCTATGTGGAAGATTCCCAAGGGAAAAAAATATCCTGATCAGCACACAATATCTAGTTTGATTCATAATTCTGTATTTCACTATAACTGCAGAGTTTGATGTTTGAGGTTTCTTTTTTTTTGGTTTTTCGAGACAGGGTTTCTCTGTATTGTTTTGGAAGCTGTCCTGGAACTCGCTCTGTAGACCAGGCTGGCCTGGAACTCACAGAGATCCACCTGCCTCTGCCTCCCGAGTGCTGGGATTAAAGGCGTGCGCCACCAACGCCCAGCCGATGTTTGAGGTTTCTAAACCCATGAGGGTGAGGACCCTGCTCTCAGCCTTTAATGTCAATTCAGGTGACTAACTTCCCTCTAGTCCTATCCAATCCCCCTTCTAAAGGTCTTTGTATCCACACCAACTACACAGGAAAATGGGGTTTTCCCAACAAGACTAACAGTGCATTTCATCTTAGAGGGTTTTTTTTGAGACGGGGTCTTGCTATGTACTCCAGGCTAGGCTTGAAGTTGTGATCCTCCTTCCTCATCTTCCTGAATGCTGGGTTACAACCATTAACCACCATGTCCAGTTTCGATTCTTTTCTTTTCTTTTTTTTTTTTCTTAAGACAGGGTTTCTCTGTAGAGCTTTGAAGCCTGTCCTGGAACTCACTCTGTAGACCAGGCTGGCCTGGAACTCACAGAGATCTACCTGCCTCTGCCTCCCGAGTACTGGGAATAAAGGCATGCGCCACCACCGCCTGGCAATGTGGTATTTTAAAAGCCTGACTTAGTGGTACCATCTGCTACAGAGGGAGAAGACAAGGAGATATATTCCTCCCTTCCTGTTTCATTTATCAATCTGACTCATCAGTTTCAGGAGAAAAGAGGTGGAAATAAAGAACAGAAAGATCTGATGATGAATAGAGCATACTAAATCTGTTTTCATTTCTCCCAGTATAAGGCTGGAGCCATCCCAAAGGCAGGGGATGGGGTAGCTCCATACATTCACCTCTGCTCAAACTTGTATTACTTAGGCCAAACTAAAATGCTGGCACTAGTAATCTCTGTCCCGTCAGCCTCCAGGGAGGATCAGAAAGAAGTCCCCTCATCTGGCCTATCTTGTAAAAGAGGAGGTACCCAGATGAACAGGTCTAAGAGTCAACCTGTTCATCTGTATCGAGTGAATTCTACTAAGAAGTTGACAGCTACTAAGAAAATAGGCCTCCCTCTCCTACCCACAGCCATTTCTCTTCAAGGAAGATTTAGAAATTCTATTTTTCTTTCTTTTGTCGAGGACCAATGTGTGAACTAACACTTACTCTGTAGAAAACAGCCATGCTAGCTGCAGCACTCTCCCAAGAGTTACACAGCAGACAGTGGCATCCCTCAGCTGGCACAGGCTGTGTACCCAGAAACCCCTGCTATAGTAACCTCAAACCGACTAAGTGTTTACAATGTACGCTCAACATGACTATTAGACATCAAGAAAAGTCACCTTTGTCCCTATACCAGACACACCCTGTTCCACACTCCACTGTCTTTTTTCCTTAATTTGCTGTGCTGGAGATCAAAACACACACACACACAAAAAAAAATTTTTTTTTTTTTTGGTTTTTCGAGACAGGGTTTCTCTGTGGCTTTGGAGGCTGTCCTGGAACTAGCTCTTATAGACCATGCTGGCCTCAAACTCACAGACATCCACCAGCCTCTGCCTCCTGAGTGCTGGGATTGAAGGCATGCGCCACCAACGCCCGGCACACACACTCAATTCTAAGTATGTAAAGCTTCCTATACACAGTAGTGAAATTTGTATTTTCTGCTGCCACAATAAAATAGCTCATAGCCTATGTCCCACCGTTGATTGTGCATTTCCTGGTAAAGGTCCTTGAACTTGTATAGGACCAAGGAAGACTGGAGTGGGCAATGACTTCAGTTAAAGTCCACAAGATAAGGAAGGACACACCTGGGTCGCATGAGGATTACAAGCCTATCAGATACAATCTAAGGAATAAACAGAAAACAGCCAGTGAAGCGGTATAGGTGAATAGAGGCTGGCAGGACCAGAGCCAGACTACCTGTACTAACGAATGAAGGTGAGTAACTGACAGAGGCCAAGACCCTTCCTGAGGAAGGAAGAAGGAAGGGGAAAGGGAGAGGGAGAAAGTTGCGGGGACTGTCTCTAGATAGTCCCTCAAACTTCAGAGTCTTGGAAAGCTGAGTCCATGCTACTCAGAGGGAATCCCAGAGTGTGTTCTAGAATCGAAAGGATCCCTACAGAGGCTCTAATCTTTCCTTTCCTTTCCAAAACTCAAGATCAAAGATGACTCTACTCCCCTGCTACCAAGCATATTTCCTATTTGCTTGCCTCAAATGCACCAAGATCCAACTGCCTTTGCCTCATAGTGCTGGAATTAAAGGCATGTGCTATCAAGTCCAGGGTGTCTCCCAAGTATTTGTGATCTGTAGTTTATAACATTATAACATTCATTATGCAAAGCCCATACATAATACTGGCCAGCTATACATTCACATGATAGGATACTATGCTGCTATATAAATATTAAGAAACAATAGGCCGGGCGTTGGTGGCACACACCTTTAATCCCAGCACTTGGGAGGCAGAGGCAGGTGGATCTTTGTGGGTTTGAGACCAGGACAGTCTGCAAAGCCACAGAGAAACCCTGTTTCAGGGGAAAAAAAAAAAGATTAGCAATTTTTTTGCCAAGTAGTGGTAGTGAACACCTTTAATCCCAGCACTTGGGAGGCAGAGGCAGGCAGATCTCTGAGTTTGAGGCCAGCCTGGTCTACAGATCAAGTTCCAAAATACTCATACACAAAGAAATCCTGTCTTGAAAAACAAAACCAAACAAACAAAAATCAAAATTGTCAAACCCAAATAAGAGGAGTTTGTTCTGCACTGTCTGTGGCTATGACTATCAGCTTAACTAAGTAGTGTGGATAATACTGACCCACCTTAAGCCTCAGGGAGCCCCTCTCCCTCCACTAGCTTATTCTGAGAAGTAAACACAAAGCCCTGACTCACTCTACCTCCCGTCTTACTGTCCACTTCTACCCACCTTGGACCCAAATCTCGACTCTGAGCAGCGCTGTACTCACCAGTTCTGCAGTAAGGGTAGGCATTCCAGGCTTTCTCATGTATATTCAGGGCTCCTTCTGGGGCCAGCATTCGAACAAATGTGGGTACTTTGCTGTAGTGAAAAAAAGAGGCGATGAACAAAAAAATGGAAGCAAGAGAAAGTCGATGAAAGGTGTGCATGCAGCCTTTGGCCGTAGCTCCTGCTTTTTCAGGGTCTAAAGTTGATAAGCACATTTCCATGAGATAAGCAGGCTACTGTGTTTAAGAAGCCACCTGCCAGAGCCTGACACCTCAGCTTGATCGGCTACAGTTAGCACCAACACCTGCTCTGCCTCGCAACATGAACCCTATGAGACCCTATGCTGTCTGCTTCCGCTTTCCAGACATTTTGTTCTCATTATAGTCTCCCAGAGAAGCAATACAGGCAGGGTCAACTGTACACAGCTTAGGTCTACTGCTGGTATGGCCAGCGGACTAACTTAAAAGGTGAGTTCCAAGGGCTGTCGGTAAAGTACCTCCCTGAGTTTGGAGTCCCAGCACCCACATAAAAAGCTAGGCGTAGTAGCACTGGTAACCCCAGTGTTTGGAGGTGGGGACAGAGACAGGAGGATTCCTAAAGATCACTGGACAGTCAATCTAAACAATTGGTTCACTTAGAGACCCTACCTCAAAACGTTGGGAGTGGTAGCATACTCCTTATAATTGCAGCACTCAGAAGGCAGAG